AAAAGGGAGAGAATGATCCTGCGGGGGAAGCAGGACACACAGCAGACTCATAGAATGGCAAATGCCCAAAACACCACTCCTGCCTCAGAATCAACCCTTGGGACATTCAGATCTGACTAAAAGGTCCATGAGAGTCTCACAGGCATGGAAAGCCATGACATAGTGGCAAAAAACAATCTAAATGAAAGATCCTGGTGAACAAGACCCCAGCAGAAGGAACGGGCCATCAAGGAGAGAGGCGCCTTTCTCTGAAGGGAGAAAGGAACCTCCACTGTGATACGGCCTTGACTAAACAAGTTCAGAGTCGGTGAACTCAAGGGGCTTCCATAGCCTAGACAGCTCATAGCAAGCGTCTCGGGTGATTGCTGACATCATAAATAAGAGTGCCAATTGTTAAATCAACAACGGGAGTCACTGGGTTCATGCTCCCCACACAGGATCTCTGTCCTTAATGTGTTTAACTAGGAAACTCAAAAACAACACTACTAGTCAAACAATACCCTATAACTGGATCGGTTGTGTGAGTGCAGCCTGTTGAAATCCCTGCTTAGTATATACTAAGTTGATCTTCAGTATATGAAGGTAATTGAAAATGAAATGTGATGAAGGGCGGGGTGGGAGAGGGAGTGGGAGAGGGGAGGGCCACGGGAGGGAGGGAGGTTGTGGGGGAAGCCACAACAATACAAAAGTTGCATTTTATATTCCACTTATAACTATTGGTTGAACTCTGTAATTAATACACAATTACTCTTAGGTGTTTAATTAATGCTATAACTAGTACTCAAATAGTATTTTATACTTTGTGTTTCTGTGTGGGAGCAAAATGTGGAAATCTTTACTTAATATATGCTAAATTGATCTTCTGTATATAAAGATAATTGAAAATTAAAAAAAAAACACTTCTTGGTGCTAACAAAAATTATAGCAGAATATGATTTGATTAATTTATTGTTTTGCTTATTATATTACCTAATGGGGCAATGTTCTGCCATTTGTGTTAACTTTTTCAATGACAAGTTTCTAATATTTTTTAAATGTGATTTTGTTCTAGTTAGATTTCATTTTATCCTGTTTATGCCAGGAAGTATATATAGCAAGTAAAAGCTGAGTGTAGATCTGTACAAATAATTCAGAGAATCTTGAAAAGCAACACTGGCAAAATGTTATGAACCCATGGCAGAGGAGTGTATGTGAGTGATTGGTTGCCTTGGAGATGAAGCATTCAAGCCTATATAGGAAAACATTTTGGACTTGCTCCCTACCAAGGATTTCCAAACAACAATATTCTGAAGAGATACAGATTTATATATATGTTATATATATTATATATATATAGTTGTTATATAACAACATGTAAATGCTAAGAACAATGAGTATCTCTTATTGAATATTGTTTACCTAACTTATTTTGGCCCAATATCTTGAACTGCTTTTGAATTTTGATATGTTGTTCTTGTTCAAAGCAGAAATTGAGAATGTTACAGTGAATATGCATAGAAAAATGCATGTTAGTGTTTAAAAATGTGTTCAAAGATTGAAAGAACTCTGTCATCACCTTACTTGTTCTTGTTAGAGTAATTGACATTTTCATGGTAGGGTTTGTATGGTGAACTGAGACAAGAAATCTTTTAGATATTCTCTTGGCTATTAAAACACTCAAACGTTCACATTGATAATTTATTTTCAAAATAATTCTAAATTTCTTTTCTTGGAGTAGAGGAAATTAATAAAAATTGAACTATTCTTTTATTTCATACTAGTGTATCTTAAGAGGTATACAGAATTCTCTTACCTAAGGCAATAAGAATAGATAACATTTTAAAATTTCTTCTTCAGTTTGTAATATGTACATAAAATTAAATATGCATAAATCATCCACTTATATTTCACTGAATTTTCAAAAGATGAACACTCTAACATCCAGTCCAAAAAATACGTCACCAAAGCTCACATCTTGTTTCTTGTTAAACGCTCCCTCAGTAAGTTAACCACAATCCTGACTTTGAACACACTAAGGTAGATATACCTGTGTCTTCATTTTATATAAATATAATCAGACAGTACACATGGTTTTGTGTGGCTTATGCTCAGTATTATGGTTGTGGCATACATCTATAACACTTGCAGTTCTTACTGCTTTTTACTGTTTTATTGTATGAACTTTATTTCTTTCTATCTGTTTGCTTATTTTATGAATACTGATTTATTTTCCTATTATTATCCATTCTCTTACTAGATATGTGGTTCTGGAGGATTTTGACTATTCGAAATAACACAGCTGTGAAATGTCAAAGACAAAACAAAGTCCAGACAAAATTAACCAAGAATTTTCATACTTTAATGAGTTACTTTCACTGAAGCAGGGTTAAAAGGTATTACAAAAGACAGTACCTTTTAGAATCAAAATTGTAAACACTGAAAGAATGATTGCCAAGTGTTCCATTAAGGTGAGGGCTTTGGGAGTGAGGGACTTCATTTGTGTTCAGTCCCATCTACCAGCCCTTGATTGCCTACAGGCAGCATTTGAAAGGAGTGTTGTACAGTGGTTGGCATGGAGGATTTTCTGTGTCTGGGCCCATTCCAGGAGTACGTGCTGACCCACTGAGGTGGTCTTCTAAAGTCATAATGGTGTTTATGGAACTCAAGTGGGGAGGTAATAGGCCAAAACAGTTCCTCAGAAGATTCTGTTACATTCTTTATTGGCGGAACCAAAACATTCCCCGAGAGTTCTGGCCTGATTTATGGCCATGGGAGGAGACAACGATTCTCTCCCTGACCTAACTCCTAGTCTGCATCATCCACGCCTTCTAGACCTGGACCTTCAGTGTTAGTACTTACCTGGCCTGCATGATCCAGTTTTAGAAAGAATTCTGATGAGTCAGTTAAGAAAGCACTTCTACCCTTGATATCTCATTATGCTTACTCAATCAAGTCCTGCTGGTAGCTGATCACCCTGGCCCACCTTCAGCAAGAGTTCTGGTAGGTCCATTTAGCACGAATCTACCCTTATCTGATGTTTCTTCTTGGTTTTTCATCCATATATGCCTCCAACTGCTTCTTTGGCTACAACCTTGGCTTGTTGTATAGAAAATCCACTCCAGCTCTACACTAAGGTCTCTTTTCCCATATTGTTATAGCTCCTAGTTAAAAAAAAAAAAATCTGCTTTTACCACTTTATTACCCAGCTCTGGTTTTCTTTTACAGAGGAAAAGCAAAAAAAAAAAAAAAAAAAAAAAAAAAAAAAAAAAAAAAAAAGAAGAAGAAGAAGAAGAAGAAAGAAACACAGGCAGGCAGCCAATGACCTGAACTCTGAGCTAGTTAGTCTCAAATTCTCTGGTGGACTCTATGTCTGGCTGATTGACACGAAGATAAGCTTTAGGTTTGGTTCCCAGTGCTTCTACCACAGTAGTGAGAAAGTTGGCTAGGATGCACCTCCTGAACCTCTTACGAGAGCTTTGACCAAGCAAGCTGCTTGGTAGACAATATAACCTGCCGAGAGCAGGTTCGGTTTAGACTACATGGACGAAACTCAATCTCCGCTCATAACAGAAAACTCAGCAGTGCTACCTGAAGCAGGTAGGCTTTCCTTCAGTGAATTGTACTTGAACACAGAAAAATGAGCAGGTAGGTATTTCACACCAGCACAACTAAAAGGCATATTCAAATGTAACATGGCTCTTTACCTAGGAACTGCATGGTTTCCACAGTGAATTTACTCCTACACTTCTGGAAGAATTGAAACATTCAAATTCCTAATCAATTTAAAAATATCAGTTTCCTAAATTAAAAAAAGTCCAGCAAAAACTTCTAATACTTATTCACAATGCTACTGTATACCCTTAGAATATTTAAAATTAAGTTCCTTGTACTCATAGTCAAATGAAAATAAAAAAGTACAATCCTGATTGGAAAAGAAATGTATAACTATAGTACAGATTTGTTTATTTCACTTAACAGTGATCAACAGTTAAATCTATCTTTTTTTTTTTTTTTTTTTTTTTTTTTAGGCAGAGTTAGACAGTGAGAGAGAGAGACAGAGAGAACGGTCTTCCTGCCATTGGTTCACTCCCCAAATGGCCGCTACGGCCGGCACACTATGTCTATCTAAAGCCAAGAGCCAGGTTCTTCCTCCTGGTCTCCCATGCAGGTGCAGGGCCCAAGCACTTGGGCCATCCTCCACTGCCCTCCTGGACCACTGCAGAGAGCTGGACTGGAAGAGGAGCAACCGGGACTAGAACCAGTGCCCCAACCGGGACTAGAACCGGGGTGCTGGTGCTGCAGGCTGAGGATTAGCCTAGTGAGCCACGGCACTGGCCAAGTTAAATCTTTCTTATTACAAAATTCTAGATTCATTTACTTGGTAGCTAAATAATATTCTGCTGTATATTTTTGCCACCTTCTCTTTGTTCATTGTTCATGGAAATCTAGGTTGTTTGAACACTATTGCAATGAGCAGGGGCCTGAAGCTGTCTGATTGCGTGCTAATTTCATTTTCTTCGGATACATACCACAAAATGGTATAACTGCATCATTGGGAAGATCTGTTTCTCTTTCTGAGGAACTTCCATTCTGTTCTCCATAATGACTGTGCTAATTTTCATTCCCATCAACAGAGTATATAAATTCTCTTTTCTGCACATTCCTGTCAATATTTGTGTGTGTGTGTGTGTGTGTGTGTGCCTTTGTTTAATAGCCATTCTCAATGGAATGGGATCATGTCTTACAGTAGTTTGAATTTGCATTTTCCCAATGGCTAGTGATGTTGAGTACTGGTAAGCATTTGCATTTTTTCTTTTGAGAAATATTTGTTGAGGTCGTTTGCCCACTTTAAATTGAAATAATTTGTTGATTGTTTTTAGTTCCGTGTACATCTTGGATATTAATATTTTTAGATGAATTATTTGCAAATATTTCTTCCACTTACTTTGATTGTCTCTTCTCTCTGTTGAATGCTTTCTATGATGAGAAATTTCATAGTTGAATATATCCCACTTATCCAATTTGCTTCTTTTTAAGATTTATTTATTTATTTGAAAATCAGAGTTACACAGAGAGAGGAGGAGAGGCAGAGAGAAAGGGGGGTGCTCTATCCACTGGTTTACTCCCCAATTGGCCACAATAGCTGGAGCTGTGCTGATCTGAAGCCAGGAGCCAGAATCTTCTTCCAGATCTCCCACATGGGTGCAGGTGCCCAAGGACTTGGGCCATCTTCTACTGCTTTCCCAGGCCATAGCAGAGAGCTGGATCAGAAGTAGAGAGGTCAGGACTAGAACAGGCACCCAAATGGGATGCCAGCACTGCAGCCTTATGCACTAAGCCACAGAACCAAACCACCCCCCTCCTTTAAAAAAAAAAGATTTATTTATTTGAATGTCAGAGTTACACAGAGAGGAGAGGCAGAGAGCGAGCGAGCGAGCGAGCCAATTTTTTTTTTTTTTTTGGACAGGCAGAGTGGACAGTGAGAGAGAGAGAGACAGAGAGAAAGGTCTTCCTTTGCCGTTGGTTCACCCTCCAATGGCTGCCGCGGCCGGCCCGCTGCAGCCGGCGCACTGCGCTGATCCGATGGCAGGAGCCAGGTACTTCTCCTGGTCTCCCATGGGGTGCAGGGCCCAAGGACTTGGGCCATCCTCCACTGCACTCCCTGGCCACAGCAGAGAGCTGGCCTGGAAGAGGGGCAACCGGGACAGAATCCGGCGCCCCGACCGGGACTAGAACCCAGTGTGCCAGAGCCGCAAGGCGGAGGATTAGCCTAGTGAGCTGCGGCGCCGGCCGCCAATTTCTTTTCTTTCTTTTTTTTTTTTTTTTTTTTGACAGGCAGAGTGGACAGTGAGAGAGAGAGAGACAGAGAGAAAGGTCTTCCTTTGCCGTTGGTTCACCCTCCAATGGCCGCCGCGGCCAGCGCGATGCGACCGGCGCACCGCGCTGATCCGATGGCAGGAGCCAGGAGCCAGGTGCTTTTCCTGGTCTCCCATGGGGTGCAGGGCCCAAGCACCTGGGCCATCCTCCACTGCACTCCCGGGCCACAGCAGAGAGCTGGCCTGGAAGAGGGGCAACTGGGACAGAATCCGGCACCCCGACCGGGACTAGAACCCGGTGTGCCGGCGCCGCTAGGCGGAGGATTAGCCTAGTGAGCCGCGGCGCCGGCCCGCCAATTTCCTTTTGATGTCAGCGCATTTGGGGTCTTATACAGAAAAAATCATTGCCCTTGCCACTGTCTTGAAGTGTTTCCAATTTTTCCCCCTAGAATTACATGGTGTATAACTTTTTATTATATTGGTTTAGAGAATTATCTGTTTTTTTCTTCACATTTATATTTTGTCAAATATTTTATAAATATGTGTGAATAAAATATGCATTTTTATAAATACATATATTCAACAGAATTTCATAGATGAAAATTCCTTGAAGAGTGCTGCTCTTGTGTACTATTTTTAATGGATGCATGCTATTCTTGTTGTGAATTTGACTTAAGTTATTTAGGCATTTCTCATTTACTCATATCCTAAGAGTCTAGGTTTTGCAACAGTGAGAATTCCTGCAATAAATATCTCTTTGTGGCCATTATGGTTTTATTAATATGAGAAAGATTCCTGGAGTGAGATTACTGATTCAGAGTATACATATTATTCATTTTAATAGATATTACACAATCACTTTCCAAACAGACTGTAGCAATATATCCACCATTAATATGTGAGATTATTCTTTTTCCCATATTGAACACAGTAGATATGGGATAAATCACAATACCTTTCCATTGGATGCTGACTTCTGGTGGGGTACACATAGCTAACAGTTTTGGTGTTTAATATTCAACATTAACTTTCCACTAGATATATCAAGTTTAAAAAGATCAAAATTGTTATTATCCTTCAAAATTAAATAATAACCATGATAATTGGAATAAGTTAATATACTTTCTCTAAATAATATTTCCATCCAAATATATAGTATGATTTCCCATTTGCTGAAATTTCTTTTATGTCTTTCAACAGGATTTTTTAACTATTTTCACGGGTACCCTTTCTGATATGCACTATTTCTAATTACTTTATTGTTATGTATCCATCATAGAAGCAGTTTTTTCCCCAATTCTGTTTCCTGGCATGTCTTGTCAATCTAATCTATTGATATGTGGATCTGTATATTTGTCAATTTCACCTTAGCAAAATACTATCAGAAAACACCATTGAACAATCAAAACTTATTTCCTTGGATTTACTAAAATAAAGAAAGTTACTGTGGTTGATTCTTAGCACCTCAGAAAAGGAAAGTAGAAAAGGATGAGGCTCTGAGATGTGTTGACTCTATGCCAAATCTATCAAGGTTGGGAACTCCTTGAGATTGGGCAAGTGTGACATGGTAATTTTAAATTCATGAACATAATGAGGTGAAGTCTTAAACCAGGCTTGGTCAAACAGATTGATTGTTCACCTTGAAAAATCAAGTGTCGTTCATTGATTTATATTGTATCTTCAGAGCAGAACTATTTTATAGAGCTGGACCCTCAGAAATCTTACGTTTTTCTGTCTTGATACACTGACAAGAAATTATCCTGGTATCTACATGTTCTTAACAGAAAAAATTTTCCTTGGTTTAAGTTCTTACTCACTAGTTGGCCCAAGATGTAGATTACTTCATGGTCTCAGAATATAATTAATTTAAATTTTCACTGCTTTTTGCTGTGTTGTGGGTACATGAGATGGCCCTGTGGGTAGTCTTTCCAATATCTATCAATGCCATATTTTTTTTTGTTTGAAGATCATTGGTTAGGTCACTTAATGGAACATTGTCCCTGAAGCATTTTTCACACATGGGCATGACATATCCACACACATTAGCAGAGGAAAACATTAAGAGATTTAGCTACAAATACTAGCACTTTAGTATAGGAGAGTTTATTTTATGATGACACTTCTCTGTCTAGGCATGATTTGATAGAGACATATGCTTCTGATCATCTGGCCTATTGCTTTATCATCTAAAGTCATTCAGTGGTCAAATCTAATTATGCAGAAAACCATCTTTCTTAATACACCAGACTTACATCAGCGGAAGATGGCTCTCATCCGAAGGGATGTACGTGTAAACACTGTAATTGTATAGGAAGGGCATTTTAATCAGAACACAGGCACTGGAAACATGCAAAGGAAGTGACCAAAGGTTCCAATAGCAAAATCAAGGTTAGAAAAAAGTACAGACATCGTTGATAAGAGGCAAAATAATCATTAGTGACAGATGGAATAATGTATAGGTGAAAATGAAATAAAATAACCATGAAAGATCAGAACAGATTAACATAAGGTACAGCAGACATTAGATGCAGTGGTGAATACGCTATTTGAACACCTGCCTCCCATGCTGGAGTACCTTGGTTTGAGCTCCGTCTCTGCTTCTAACTCCAGCTTCCTGCTGATTTGCATCCTGGGAGGCAGCACATGATAGTTTCAGTATTTAGGTCCCTGCTATGCATCCACATTAAGTTCCTAGCTCCTGACTACAGCCTAACACAGATCTCTTTCTTTCTGTCTTTCTCTGTAACTTTCTGCCCCTTTCTCTCTGCCTTTAAAATAAATAAGAAAATAATATAAAGTCAAACTAAAATAAAATATGGCCATCTGTGTCTCTAATCATTTAGAGCTTTTTTCCTGGATGTGGTATAGATGGCGTTTCCCTCTGGAGTTGCTATGTTGATTAATGTTCTTGGTGAAATGCTACATCTGTTCCAAAATTGCCTGAAGCTCCTGCAGGGCCCTGGCCTAAGGTCTCCAGCTAAGACCATTTCTCATGATTTGAAGATGGCTTAAATCTCTTCCGCTGCGAGACAGCAGTCTATGCCTCAGCAACTTAAACGTTCATTGTTGCTGTAGTTGTGGAAAACTCAAAATCCATGCAATTCTCTGATGCTTCATCCAGAAGATGAAATTTCCTATACCACAGGCAAAACTGGGGGGTGGGGGGGAATAATCTCTCGAAGTGTAACACAGAATTTACAATGATCAAGTCACTGATACTCTTGGGGTATCAGCTATGTGAAACGTGGAAATGGAAAATAACCAGTTTCTTAACCATATGATAAAGTATGTCATGATTATCTCAGACAAACAATGTAAATTGGAATTTAGCAATCTAAGCATAATCTTTCAGTAAAAATATTCTTTAGTCTGCGAGTATGAAAACAGGTATTCCTTGGGACGTGCACAATCACTGACATATGCTGTGATTTTTAATTTACCTATAATTAACCTAAGACTACTGAATTTTTTTTCTTTTTTGGGGGGAGAAGGGTTAGGATTTTTATCTTACAGTTGATTAACTACAGAGCTCTCACAGCAGTATTAATTAAAATTTAAATAATACTTAATCTCCCCACCCTTGCTTACAAAATTAAAGTTCACATTTTTTATTTACTTTGAAATTTGGTACTTGAATTGGGAAAAACCAAATTACTAAGAATAGTGGTTAATGAGATAAATGTTAACAGTCACAGTATCTAAGTAAAGGTGTCTTTATAGAAAATATTTTGAACATACCTAATAAATAACAGTTAATAAAAAGAAAATTCTTTCAAATATAAGGAAATTTCACCACATGATTCAGAATTATGACAAAAATTTTGCAGGGGGGCTCCAACCCCCTCCTCTTAAGTAGGACTTTAAGGGTATCAAGGGAGGGATCGAGTTTGGAATTGTGCTGTCCTATATTTTATGGGAGTACACTCACCTGCAGTCCGATTAGCCCGTCAGCGACTTCGTGAGTCCTCACACGGGGCACCAGTTGCTGCTCGTCACGGGGTAGCAGGTCCGATAGAGCTGCTCAGGGCCAGCCTGGGGAGCTCGGGGCCGAGAGGGATGAAGAGTGTCGGCGGCAAAGGAACCACACCAGAGCCGGGAGATCAGCCAACGCCCAGGGCGTAGCCGGGTTCTCGACTTTATTGGGAGGGGAAGCGCTTTTATAGACACAGAAAGGGGGCTGTCCAGGGCACAAGGGAACTGAGCCAATCAGCTGAAAGGTAAGGCAGGACATGAGCCGGGCATGCTCTCAAGGGCCAATCACAGCTGAGGACACGTACTGTCCACGAATACAGAAGTCTCCTGTCAGGCTAGGTACCGCCCCTGGGGGCCATCTTGGATGTTGGAAACGCTGAGTCACTGGGATGCGGAAGTGTGGAAAACTCCAGCAAAGGCTTAGAGGCCTTGTGGAGCGAAGGCTTAGCAACTTTGTTTCCTTTTCGGTTGGAGACCCCTGCAAAATTTCAGCTACTATGGTAAGTACTTTGATAATGCAAAGAAGCTTGTCTGGAAATGTAATAATCTTGTCATTTTACAAGAAAAGAAATATCAACTCTAATTTTGTCTTTTTAATATATTCTATATATCTTACTATTGGATAATAGCGTTATAAATAAAAAAGTAAGACCATTAACACCTAGTCTACTTTATAAAACTTCAATCAAATCCATCCGTTTTTATATTTGAAATATTTTATTTTTTTATTTGATAATTCATATATATTTTTAAAGTTAATCTGAGAGGCAATGAAACAGAGAGAGACAAGCAGAGTTCCCATACAGGGTTAATTCTCAAATAACTACAATAGTCAGGGCTGGACCAGGCTGCAATTAGCAGCCAGGCACTGTGAAACCAAGGAATGCAGCTTTGCCTGGCTCAGACCTTTTAAGATTTAGTGTCATCTCAAATTTGTCTTCTATGGCTTTTTAAAACTCTTTATCAGTGTTTCAAATCTTTCAACGTACAAAGCACAAATGTATGATAGAATTAAATCTTTCTATTTTAGCATTAAATCATGCAAATTATAAAATTATACCTATATTTTTATTTTGAAATTGAGTCATATTTAAAATAAACATTAAATAAAATTTAGCTATATGCATGTAAAATCTCCTTAATGAAAAGTATAAATCTCACTTTGCTATGTTGGATATGTATATCCTATTGTCAAAAAGTATTTAAATTAGTTGCTTATGTCATAGAATATTGTTATACTTTTTTGTTTACAATATAAAACTGAATAACTAGTTAGTTTGTCATTGTTATACCTGTGGTATGTACTTTATAACTTTACAAATTTGGGGTTCATAATTCCTATGTGTAGGCACAAAATTCAGTTAGTATATAGTCATTTTTCTATAAGTGAAATAATTTAAATTATATTTAGTCAATAATGTGCACGTATTTGTAATTTAGAAATGAGCATCAATTATTAATCATTTTAATGTAACATTAGTCTAACTTCTTAATTGATCAAAATCTGGAAATTACAATTTAAACCAAAACATCAATTACTTAATGATTTGAAGCATTACTAGATGTCATTAGAGCCAATGCTTTAAACTATTTGAATAATGTAAAATATTAAATTTCATTAAATTAAGCATACATTTATGTTTTGTAATTTAAGCAATCTGTGGAAATAATAATTTACCCTGGAGCTGTGATTACATATAAATGTCCTGGAAATGCAATGTAAGTTATGAAATTTAAATGCAGATCTTGTGTGAAGTAAACATATTCCAACATTACTTTCCCACTGTGATTATATCAGAGAGAAAAGAAAGTTATTTTAAAATAAAATTTTTCCAATTATGCTTCTGTTTATCATGACTACAAATGAATTATTTTAATATATTTTTATGCACATATAAAATTATATTTTTGTGAAGGTGTAAGTATATAGTTTTAATTGTTAAGATGTTTATTCAAACTTGATTGTTTCACAACTACATAAAATGCTTAGTAGTTTTAATGAATTTTAATTATTCCTGAAAGTGGACTTGATTAGATCTTCTAGAGTATAAACAAAAATCTCGCAGCTGGGGTAGGTTAAGCCATTGTCTGAGATGCCAGCATTCCGGATTGGTGCCAATGGCCCACATACTTGGGTCCCTGCCACCAGTATAGGAGACCTGGATGGAGTTCCAGGCTCCTGGCTCTGGCCAAGCCCAGCCTTGACTATAGACTAGGCCATTTGGGGAGTGGACCAGTGGATGGAAAATTCTCTCTCTTTCTTTCTTTCTTTCTCTGTGTGTGTGTGTGTGTGTTTGTGTATTCCTTTCCCTCTCTCTTTCTCTCTGTAATTCTGCCTTTCAAAATAAATATAAATAATTCTTTTTTTTTAATGACTTCCAGGAGCTTGGAACTCTATACAGGTATCCCACATGGGTAGCAGGGGCCCAAGCCCTTGGGGCACCACCTTTGATTTCTTAAGTACATTCGGATGGAGATGGATTAGAAGCAGAGCAGCTGGCATTTGAACCAGCACTCTGATATGGTGTGCCAGAGTCGTGGGTGATGGCTGAACCTACTGAACCTCAACATTGGCCCCATAATGGATTAGTTTTGCTTGCTTGTTGAAATTTATGTACGTGTGTGTGTGTGTGTGTGTGTATGAGAGTACTTTGGCAAGTTCACGGAAAATGAAATTAAACTTTTTTTGGAAAAAAATCTTTGAAATTGTGTATTAGGTGCCTTCAATGTGTTCATGGAAAAAGAGTATCGTGAAAAAAAAATTAAGATAAAAAATGCAACTCCTGTCATTGCCAGCACTTGAATAAACCAGTGGATAGGGGCGCTCTCTCTCTCTGCCTCTCAAATTAAATAAAAAAATTAAAGACCAAAAAGAAAACCTATAGATGATAAAGAGGATTTTATACCACTGTGCTCCTATGAGCAAACAAAAAGATGTAAAAGCAGTTCTTGCAGGAACATCTATATAAGTAATTTATCTTCTTTCTTTAAAACTTACGGTTTGAGAGAAAAAGTGAAGTACCAATAAATATGTCAATGTCAGTTTATTTTGCAATCAGAAAAAAGTCAAAAAGGCATAAATGGAGGTGAAGAATTTTTACACTAAGTTCTTAAATCTCCTGAGAACTGTGTGTACGTAAACATATTTCTAGTATAGAAAGAGGTTAATGAAAAGCCAGTCACCAGTTAATGAATCTGCTAATCATGTTTTTCCATTATTACATTAGGCTGCTTTTGCTCTTCCGCTGTGGCAATCAGCTCTACATATCCCAGGTGATTGTGTGTGTCAAACGCAATCTTTATGATATCTGGTATCTCTGGGAGAGGAAAACAAAATAAAATGCTTCTTGCCTCTGTCATTGTGAAAGTAGGCATATTCCTATATCTGATCAATCATGCTGATTAGCAACAATGCATTTACTAAAGAGTTTTAGAAAAGATATAGATATTACTTATTCAATCCTAATAAGTGACACTTGTTTCTTAGCATGCTATTAAAAAGCTGGAAGGGAGCCTGCACAGTGGCTCACTTGGTTAATCCTCCACCTGCGGTGCCGGCATCCCATATGGGCACCGGGTTCTAGTCCTGGTTGCTCCTCTTCCAGTCCAGCTCTCTGCTGTGGCCCAGGAGGGCAGTGGAGGATGGCCCAGGTGCTTGGGCCCTGCACCTGCATGGGAGACCAGGAGGAAGCACCTGGCTCCTGGCTTCAGATCAGCGCAGCGCTGGCCGTAGTAACTATTTGGGGGGTGAACCAACGGAAGGAAGACCTTTCTCTCTCTCTCTCTGTCTATAACTCTGTCCAAAAAAAAAAAAAAAAAAAGCTAGCAGAAGATGTCTCAGCAAAAAAATCTTTTTAAGATCAAAAATTATGATAAAGAATATATTCTCAGCTTGTTTAAAATAAAAGGGGGAGTCAAACGATTGTACTATGTCAAAATGTAGAAAGCATGTGGTAATGGCACATTTTAAAATGTTGGTTTTAGTAAGCAGCCTTCTCCATTTTTATAGAAAATAGTGTCCTCTCTAGACAAGTGTTACATAGCTTCAGCTCCGAGTTTCCAACCACATCTCACAGATGCTAACTTTGATTCCCACTGCTCTAAGAAAATAACAATCACCAGAAGAGAATTCTTACAAGGTTCGCACACACACATATATTTAGCTCACAATCATGTAATAACAGGGGCATGAATCATTTCGATGGCAGCTAGATTTTTTTTTATTTTAAGAGCTTAATAATAACTTTCAACTTTTCTCCGTCAGTCCTCCACGACCTGAATAACAGTAGCTTCTGATGGTGTTTGACCACTAGATCATTAATTTCTTTGTTTTTTTTTTTTTTTTACTAGATCATTAATTTGTCTCAAGTCCCTTTACTGAGTCACTTTTTCTGGTTGTTTTAACTGGGCGTACTAAATCTCGCACAAATTGAGCATTAATTGAGTGCAAATGCTTGACTAAGGAAGTGAGGGAGAGGGAGAGACACAGCCTGATTTCAGCTTCTAAGCCTGTGTTCCTTGGGTCAGGCTGTCACTAACCCAGATAAAGGGACGTCCAAGGAAAGTTGCTGAATGGACTTGAGGATATTCTCAATGACTGCCCATTAAATTCCAGAATATGTCTTTGTAATTTCATTAGTGATGCCTGTCAACTACTTTGACAAATACGTAGTTTATGGAAAATGAAAACATATGGCAAGGGCAGACATGGCACCTGTGACTATAAAGGAGTTGACACGCACAGTTGTGGAGCAATGACGTCAACATCATAGCAACCTAAGGTACACTGATGGCCTGGCACATTATGCCATAGAATTTTTATCCTGTATTATTTTAGGGCAAAAAGCAAATTGTTTATGAAAGTACTTTTTTTGTTTGTTTGACAGGTGAAGTTGTAGACAGAGAGAGAGAGAGAGACAGAGAGAAAGGTTTTCCTGCCGTTGCTTCACCCCCCAAATGGCCACTACAGCCGGCGCGCTGCAATGATCTGAAGCCAGGAGCCAGGTGCTTCCTCCTGGTCTCCCATGCAGGTGCAGGGCCCAAGCACTTGGGCCATCCTTCACTGCCTTCCCAGGCCACTAGAGAGCTGGACTGGAAGACGTGCAACTTGGACTAGAACCCGGCACCCTTATGGGATGCCAGCGCCATAGGTGG